AGGGTTAAGTGAAAGTGCAATAATTTTTTGTATGAAATACTAGCAGGAAATAATGTTACTCATACGCCATATCATACATGACCGTATGACCATGTTAAAGTTTGAATTTTTTTCATTCGCAATGAAAACTTAAAATAAAAATAACTTGACTAAATTACCTTATCTAAAAAAACGGTATACAGATCCGTAACATACTACTTAAAATTAATTTTACGTCTGTCGGAGTTTTTTGTGTAATTTTAGCGTCGTTACAGTGTTATCATCAAAATTTAGCCATAGCAATGCAATTTGTTTATAAAACTCTTAGGAGTTAGGATCTCCAGTCCGACAGGGCTCGTAATTCAAGTGGACTCTATCCTCATTTGTAACGCAGGATACCTAATGTGACCAACTATTTCTCAAAGAAGAACAGCTTAGGTTGGGTTAAGTTAACACCGCGAGCCGACTACGAAATTTCGAAAGCGGCCAATTTCGGTCCCTGAGAGCTCAGTGTTTGTTCAGAAGTGCGAGCCAAAATGCTTCCATCGCAGGTGCGCGAAGGTTGGACAGTCTAAAAGAAAGTGTTGAGATGATTCCACTTCATATTCCTCTTGGCAGCTGATACAAAAGGATCAATTGAAATTCCTAGTCTCACCGTATGAATACCAGTCGCACAATGGCCTGTCAGAACCCCATCACTAGCCCTTGAGAGGTAACGTGTTTTATAGTGGTCAATAAAAACATTTGCTGCAGCAGAGAAGCGACTTCTTTTCCTTTTTTATATCACAAAAGGACCCGGTTTCCCTTAGCCTAATAGCAGTTTGCGCTGCGACAATTCTGTCTACAACATCCGCAGATGTCGTGTTCAACATATTTGTGTTAAGTGCCGGTGTAGGTGTGGTTCTTAATGCTCCGCTAATTCCTGTTTTACAAGTTTAGCCATCACTAGTGAGCTCCACCAGACAAGGGTTCCTTGAAACAATATATGCTTGAATCTGGTTTCCTAGAGCTAATGAATTAATTTTAATTCTACCGATAGCTCCCCTACAGCAGTACAAGGCAACCGACACCTTTCCTACCCTTGCCTCAATGTTAGACTTCCACGACAGCCGTCGTTGATTGCACACCTAGTTACCTGGTGCAAGTAACCTTGAGCCAGATACCCTGTATAGAAATCGTCCCTTAACCAAAAGTTCCACATCTTCTACATAGGCGATCACCCAACAGCCCACATTTTCCAGTTTCTCTAGAACATCGTTTACAACCGCAATCCAGAGCAGAACACCACCTTGTGCAGTGCTCCTATTGGCTCTGTACTGTGTGCAGACGCCCCCCACTCCGCCGCGACAGATTATGAACATACTTGACTAATGCCTCTGGAGTGACATTGTTGAAGACCCCCTCGATATCGACGACGGCCCCTACTGCATAATCTTCATGCATGAAAGTTCCCTCTGACCACTTTACCAAGGTGTGCAGGGCGGTATTCACCGACCTTTTTTTGCAATAACTATATTGAGCTCTTGAAAGACTGTCACGAGGAATCGCGTTCCTTATGTACAGGTCTATCAGTCTCTTTAGCGTTTTTAGCAAAAACAAAGAAACTGATAGGCCTAAAATCCCTAGGGGAAACATGAGAGCCTTTTCAGGCCTTCGGTATGAAAGCAACATTGACTACCCTCAAAGCCTTTGGATGTACCCGGTCCTCACGCAGTTCGCATAAATAGAATCCACTTTGCAGCTGGGCAGGTGTGATCGGTCCCCGGCGACTTTAATGGTTTGAACGAATTTATCGAATGCACGCCATTTTGGGTAGAATTAAGGGTGCCATAATATACGCAATTAAGTTAGTGCATTTTTATAGATACGCAGGGATTAGTCCAAGAGAACAGCAGTGCCCAAGGCAGCAACAGTCCGGCGGATTATTCCTGCTTCGACATTTATGGGTCTCGGTAGCACGTAATTTATTCCAATTACAATATGAAATTCCTTGTAATGGAAAAAACAATTCCATTTGAAATTACTTCAAGGAATTGAAAAAGTAATCGATTCCTTTGCTGTGAACTGAAAGAATTGAATCCTAATGACAATTGCTGAGGAATGTAATTGTAATTGTAATGTAATTGCATTTACCCAGCTCTGATACATACATATCGATGGTCCTGTGCAATAGCGACACAATTCAAAATTCAAAAAATAAAAACTGTTACTTCTGTTAAGTGGCTCATGTCTGTAATCCTCGTCGAATTTATGTCTAATCTTTTGTATTTACTTTAGCATTCCTTACTGCTTACTTTAGTAAGGGATGGAAATGGATTAGACAAGGATTAGAGACAAGAGCCACCTAACAGCAGTAACAGTTTTTGTTTTTTGAATTTTGAATTGTGTCGTTATTGCACAGGACTATCGATATGTTGAAATTATGCAAAATAAAACTTGAATTCACATCCAGCTGGCGTAGTCTTTCGTTCAAATCTGGAAAAAAACCTTGCGCTTTCGTTCCGCTTAGAAACTGCTTCAACAACGGTTATTGTCCGCACCCTGGTTAGACAGACTTAGAGTCATTTCAACAATATTAGAGTGGATGCGAATGCGAATGTCGAATGTGAATGCAACATCCCTGGTATGTATGTACGTTTTCGTGTTCATTTAGGTTTTTACTGTTCAAGTCTTTAATGCATGTAGTGCTTAGCAGTGCGTTCAACCTTTCTGCAGGGCCTGGGTTCAAGCCCAGGTTTCGACTAACATAAGAAAAGAACAGAAACATTTTTGTTTAATACCGGTCGAACCTCGGCAGGCAATGGCAAACACGAAAAACAGCTTCTGGGCCATTCCATTGTGACTTGTGGGACATTTTACTCCAGAATGTGATCAATTGTGAATTTTAACTATGTCGTCGGAACTTATACAACAGCGAAAGATATTTTTTAACATAGAATGATAACTAATGTATAAAACTGCTTTAACAGAAATACCAAATGATTTCTTAGTTCTATGTAACTATCATTTGAATGAATGTGACTGGTGGGACTGGTTGTGCACTCAAAGATGAATTTTAGCCAAAACACCTAATTTTCACGAACGATGTATTTGTGTTGTAAAATATGAATTACATGCTTTCGTTTTCAATAAAAATGAGGTTTATATCATGGTGAAATAAATATAAGGTGATGTCACTTACATAACCTCACTTTTTCTGCATGCCAATTGCGGTCATGCATTTGAGGGTAGTAGAAAAAGGGGGAAAAAATTTGGATTATTTTTACTACTTTTTGGGTACTATTTCCAATACTGATTTCGAATATATACATATGGACATATATTCAAAGCTCTCGCTATCAGTGTATTTTCCTATAAGAAATACTTTTGTTTAACTGTTTAAATTCAATGAATAGGCATACAAACAAAAAAATTGTGTATGTATATCATTTTATGGATTTATTCAAATCTTTAATACGAAAATGCATTCTACACTTAAAAAAAAGTTTTTTGACATTTTCCGCCATGTGAGAAGTTTTTGAGGCGTTAAGCATTTCTTGCATATAATTTGGACCGCAATAAATTTCCTTCCCATTAAATTTTATAAAAATGGTTTCTAAGAACAATAACTCCTTCACAAACGCAGAACTAGGCTTTATTAAACCGCCTTTCGACAATTCATCAACCCAAGTGAACGTATTGTCCGTGGACTCCATACCAGTTAAATGAAGCTTGCGGATAATATAGCCAGCTATATACTCGACCGCGTCCTCGTGGAACTGGTCTATGTCGCTCTCTATGTTAAAATCATCTGCGGAGACGATGGAGGCGTCAGACTCGCCTAGATATTCCGAGATGTAGTCACAATGAGGTATGTCTCTCAGTGGAAGCCAGTTGGTATCATCTTCGCCAACATTTCCTCTTCCAGGGAGGAGTGCTGTGTTTTGTGCTAAATTTTACATGAAAGGTACAAAATACGCATACTAATTAAATATATTACAGAAAATCTTTTATAAGCGTATCTTACCAAGAAGATATTTTCGAAGCCGGTATTTGAATTGCATCGGTGTTGGATTATCGTGCAACCCACCCCTCGCCCTCATTGCACCGAAAAAGTTCTCCAACACATCTTGGTTCAGCCGATAGGTTAGCAAATACCGCAAACCAAATTTTTCTTGCAGACAATAGAACAACGACCGTAGAGATTCGTTGCTCATCAAAATTCCTTTCTGGAAAGGAAGAAGCGTTCTACTACTGGTTACCTTTGCATTGAGGGCAATGGAGTCCATTGTTTCTAAAACTTTCGTCTGTTGCTCCATATCTACCCCAAATGGCCTTTTCGAAGGAATAGTTTGTATCGTGGTCATCTTTGTGTTCATTAAGTCGAACCAATCATTAATGGCGTCAATGAAGTCAGCTGTTTCTAGCGGATTATAAAGCTCTTCACCCATTTGATAACATCGCCTTATAACGCTAGCTGTGGTGTGGGAAAACAGCTGGGCCACGTAGACGTACCACATACATAAGAGGTAGGTTAAAATTAAAAAATAAAAATAAAAACTATTTTCCGCCCTTCATTTATTCTTATTAAAACAAATAAAATTAAACCGTTCTCTTTATTTAATTATATTTAACTTCTAATAAAAATAACATATCATCAAGTATGGAATTTTATTTGTATTTTTTTCCTTAAGTTCTGAAGTATATATGCGTACTAAGTTTTTAAATAACTTAACTTTAACGGGAATTTTATTACAAACTATATTTTCGTTACCATTTAAAACTTACACATCTAAATTCTATCTGCTATATTATTAAATAATTATACGTTTAAGTGGCTAGACCGAAGTCCCTCATCATAGTCATCCGAGCGGAAACGCTTGGAGATAAGTACCGAATCCGTGATTAGTGTGAGCCATGGTGTATTAATAATTATATCATTACAAGATGGTGTAAGCATGGGTGTAAGCCAAAAACAAATAAAAAAATAAGTTACCAATTTGATTCATTGGCAATTGCTAAATTCTTACCTGAAACGCAGTTGAAAAATCCCTAGTTGTAGAAGGTGATGATGCTGCTGGTGTGCACTACTCCAAAAATCTGTTGGAAGAAACACAAACATAAAGACTGGTTAGGGTTTGATAATATACATGTTTTGGATTTCATAATTTCCTACCTGGAACTTGCTTATTAAAACGCTGCTGGTAGCGCAGCTTGGCGAGACACTGCTCCAAAAATCTGATGGAAGAAACACAAACATAAAGACTGGTTAGATTCTGATGATATAAATATGTTGGATTTAACAATTTCCTACCTGGAACTTGCTTATAACACCGCTGTTGGTAGCGCCGCTGATGAGACACTGCCCCAATAAACAACTGTAGCCAGCTCTAAAACTTAAAAGGTGCTGTTCTAAAAACCTTTTGTGAGAAAAATACATTAGTTTGGTGAATGCATTTAGTTTGCGAAACTTACCTGGAATTATCTTGAATAAATCGCTGCTTTTTGCGGGATAATAGCTCAACCTATTTGAAGAAATATATAAACAATTAAATTTCATCAATATGCACATATATATGTATATATTTTAGCAAAAATTTACTTACAAAATCACAATTATTGCAAACTATCGCTCAGATTTTCCAATAAATTTGAAACGAAAAGTCAGAGAAAAGGAGACTCAAAGAAATAGTGATACCTACGCTTACTTTTTTCACAAGATTGTTGTCTGCTACATTTTTTGTTCTATTTTGCCCAGAAAGGAAATTGTAATAAATAGAGTAGGCATTACTGTAACGCTGGTATGCCGAAATTGCCAAAACTACAACAACCACCCCCTAAGTGACAACACCTTATTATTATTTCACCATGGGTTTATATAATCATAGAAATATTAAAAAATATTTAAAGTTGTGACTGGTGGTACATCTCCTTGTGACTGCTGTAAAGTAACTATGCATGAAATAAAAGTTTCCATAGACAAAAATTACAACTTCTTTTGACTTCCTAATATTTTCCCACAGGTTAATGAAATGTAGTTATTTAAGAAGAGAAATAGAGATAATTAGGGCATATTTGAATTTATGTCGTTTTCGTCTTTTCAATGAAATGACCCTTCTCATACAGATACAATTGCCGTTCGGAGTCAGCATAAAACTGTAGGTCCCTCCTCTTTGTGTGACAACATCAAGACAAATCGGAGGATAAGCTCGGAGAAACATTAATGGTGATTTCGTTACTACCAAAAAATGTGGCCTTTTGATTGCCGTTTTCTCTTTTCGTATTCGATTCTAAATTAAAGGCAAAGGATGAGACAATTTTGTGTTCGTTTCTTAAAATGTCACACTCTTGCAAGAGGAAGAAGGCACATTCTCTGCCCTTTGAAGCTTTGTCAGGGGAGATGGTTGCCCTGAAAATCAGATGGTTGTTTAAAACGACAATATTATGAAATGCGTGAGCTAGACGAGGACAAGAAGGCAAAAACATGCCCTTTTACAGGGTTGAGTGTAACATCAAGAAACGAAATCACCATAACATAAGGTCAGTATGCAGCTCTCAAGAAAAGCAAAAAGTCCATATAAAATGACGTACAAGAAATGGCTAAGAAATTTTCTTGTTTAAAATTTTCTTGAGGCAGTACGCAGTTCTTAAGAAATTTGCTCCGCTTTCTACTACACTTTTATAAAGTTTTTTCTTGAAAAAAGAGCACAAGGCAACCCATGCTTGCGATAGAAATATTTACCCGTTCCATTATTTCTTGAGGAAAGAGTGAGGCAACAGGCTGGTGAAGTATCAGATGTCAAAATTCCTTGGACACACATACGAAAGGCAATGTTTTTCTTGACCGTTTTCTTGAGAGCTGCATACTAGCCTATATTGTGGAAGCGCCAATATAGTTATTATTAAAATGTAATAAAATAATAAGCAAATTGCTTCTTCTAAATTGCATTAATTTAGGGTTTTTGGTACTGATTCATCAAGCAGTATATAATTAATAAGAAGATTTATAACTGGAATACCCCAAAACTTTGAATAAAATTTGTTTTTATTTTCAGTCAAAAACTAACCTCCCCAAAATGGAACCACTTCAAAGGAATTCGCTTGCGTTGGAAGGATAAAATACGCTTGAACAATGTAATTTGGCGATGCTGGCACATGCAATGTAAGTATTGATAGTACATACTAGTGATGTTGCGAATGTGGAATTTTAGACATCCGCGAAAGCGAATGCGGATGTCATGTATTTTTAAGAAATAATTTAGGTGGGTAAATTAGGTGACTTAGGTAAATAAAAAATGGAAAGGTTAGTAATTTTTAATAATCTGCCTTATCCTGAGTTTCGCCCGAAAATTTGTATTCCGCCCATAGTAAATACATGAAAACCAAAAGTGAAAAGTGAACCGGTTCGGGAAAAATGAAACTCGTGATAAGACTGAATGTTTTTTTTAGTACTTGAATTTAAAAATTGGAACATTGTATTTAATAAAAACTTTTTAAAGGATCGTAAATCAAACCTGCGCCACTTTATAACTACACGCTCTAGGCGACAAGCTTGAAACGTGACAAAATTGTAAACTCATTTCGATTGACACTGCACCAGTTGAGAGGACTTTCAGTTATATTCATTTATTTTTATTGCGGTGCAATAATTACTTTCTGAGAATCGGGGCCGCAAATGTCGGATGTATCCTCCTGACTTTCATCACGTTGTTTAAACAACGTTGTTTTCCAAAGAATTCTTCATTCTCATTCGTGTGGTTGTTACGGAATTCGGAGAACCTGTCGCGTTATCAGCGTTTTTCGATTTTAGCTTTTGTAATTCATTCTGAATGCTTTCTTCTGTGACTGGTCAGATATACGCGTTATCAGTGCACTTGCATAATATTCTAGGTATCGAAAATAAAATTTATTTTTTACGAGTTAAATTTAGCCTAATATTTTTTATACCGAAATAAACGTTCTTTCGGATAATAAACAAACCGCTTATCCAAATTAAACAAATTTGGTATCATATGAAAGAGGACTGAAATAGCTTTTAAACAGAAAAAACGAAGATTACCACCTCGATTTATATTTCTTTTTATAAGCTAATACTAATGAAATTCATATAAATATATACCTGACCCCAGGTTTGTTCTATGGTTATTAATTAACATTTTTTATTGAAATAGTTTTCAATATGTGGCTTTACTCGTTTAGACATTTCATAAGACATAAGTCCTCTTTCATTTGATACGAAACTAGTTTAATTTGGATAAGCGATTTGTTTATTATCCGGAAAGTACTTTTATTTCGGAATAAAAATATTTGGCCAAGTTTAACTCGTAAAAAAAAACTGTAATTTTGCGAATGCGAATGTTAAAATTAATGCGGAAGCTCCGCGGTTGCGAATGCGAATGCGAATATTCGCAACAAGCCTGGTACATACATATGTAAGTATGTATGAGAGCTGGGCATTTAGGATTACGATTACATTTTGATTGATTTGAAATCGCAGTCCACAAAATTTTTAGTATTCCGATTCGCTCGATTGCGAATACTTTAATTGTAATCCTTCAAATTTAACGATTACGACTACTGTATTAGTATACCATATGGTATCACAGCACTACTATTATTGGGCTATGTGTGAGGAGAGTTCTGCTTCTGTTTCAAGCCACTCTAAGAATGCTTACTTTACAAACAGTTTTTCTTTTCAATGCTATTTTGGTATTGGCCAATGCAAAACTTTTTATCAGGCGCCGCGAAGCAAGCGGGCATTTACTAGTTAATATAATGTGTATACACTGAGAAAAAAAAACGCGTTGTAAAAATGAAAATTTTTTATTTGATTGCCGTTTAAAAATGTTCGTATTAAAATCAAGTGAAAAGTGTTAACAAAATTGATTTTTCCATTATACATACACTACGTATAATGGAAATATTCAATTCAAATACGCCCGTATTAAAATTAAGCATTTTTCAATGCACGGATGGCGTTTTGCACGTCTCGGATGCTTTTGAACCTCCCTTTTATTAACTCGGGGTGTAACTATGTAATATTGATGCGCCTAAAAGATGCAGCGATTTGTATTCTCAAGTTACATACCTCGTGACAGTACGAATAGAAATTATAATAGCGAGGTTTAGGTTTTGAAACTATAATTTTTTTTTTCATATGTAATTAAGAAAGTATATGTAAACAAAGCATGCACAGCGGTGACAACACACACACATACATGGTACATGTTTATCTGTACAAATGCACTAATCGCGCGCTGTGATGTTGATTCAAACTCAACACTTGAAAACACAATTAGGGTACTCACAGTTCTATATTATCTACTGTGTTAATTTTGCCACCTGGTAACTTTAAAACATTTTACCATGTGGTAACTTTGTTTGTTGTTGGTTCCCATACTAATTAGAGATAACACTTTTGGGCAAAATTACTAGACTTTGTCTCATGTTTATGTTCTGTGTTAAACTGGCATCTATCGCTGCTTGTACATACATACATGAATTTCGCTTTGGGCGCAGCGCTGCTTGTACATAAGTTTCTCTTTGCGCCTGCCTGGAGCTGGCAAAGGTTATTTTTTTTTTTTTTTGCGCTGTGCTAGCTGAGTATAAAAAAGAGAAGAGAGAATAGAGAGAAATATGTATGTGGTTTGTTGATGCTCTCTAAACACAAACGCGTGAAAGGCAAACGGTCTAGCAATGCGTGGTATTGTTGATCAACTTAATACTTTATTTAAACATAAGGGTTGCTCACAGTTCGAGTGTGTTATCTTGTTAAAGTTGCCACCTTTTAACTTTAGAAGTAAACTGTGAGTACCCTGATTTACATGTATGGCTGTAGCTGAGTGTGCTGCCAAGAGGGTCCGGGTTCAATTGCCATCAGACGGAACATAAAAAATTCCTTTTTTCTTTTAAATTCTTTTTTTTCTTCTTAATTACGAAAAAGCATCTGTGCACTTCACAACGACATATTTTGCAATGTACATACTCAAATTAAAAACAAGTTGGGTTGGTGCTCTTTCAAATTCGTATTTTTTTAATTTAGCACGTTTTTTTTTAATTCTAAAATTTTTTCCTTTACTTTACTTAAGCAATCCTTACTGCTTACTTTTGTAAAGGATGGAAATGGATTAGACAAGGATTAGAGACAAGAGCCACTTAACAGTAGTAACAGTTTTTGTTTTTTGAATTTCGAATTGTGTCGTTATTGCACAGGACCATCGAAATGTACGCATACATTAATGTAAGAGAATATACCCACCGTACAATTTTTTTTTTGCGATGTTGCTTTGACTAGGGCTTGAACCCAGGCCCTGAGGAGGGGTACCGCGCACTTAACCACTACACCACAGTTTTTAGTACTTCATATATTTTTTGAATACGAGATTAGAAATTAAAATTAAAATAAATTATTTCTCTCGCTATGGGGCCTCGTAGTTTTTCAATACAATATTTGGCATAAATTAGATGTTTTTGGATAATACGCGAAATTCATTTGTCTGACTCCTTCGCTACCACTAAAAACTGTAGTGATAGTGCTATCCTGTTTCACTACAACGAAATTTAGTGGTAGTGAATGAATCCGCACTACACTCAAAAAGTGTTGAAATAGTCAGTACATACCGTCGCTCGCAGAAGTATTCGTAATTTAGTTTTTTCACAATACATATTCAAGATGTTTTCCATCATAAATATTTTTCGTTAATTTTCATTTAAAATATAGCTCATTCTATAACAAAAACCATATATTTACTTGAAAACTTTGTACAAAATTCATAAAAATGAATCAAACTTAAAAAAACTTTCTTCAAAATTTCAAACTTTTTAATCAGAATTTTTAGAAAATATTTTCGGTATGCAGTTTTGTAGTCCGTTCAATTTCAATACGTGTAAGAAAGTGCAAGTTTCAAGTACCTAAGTACCTTAAAATTACCGTAAGTTCATACGCCGCATGTACATATGTATGTATGTCAGTGTTGCCACAAAAAAATTACCAAACTCCTCAAAAACAAATGAAAAATCCTCAAAATCCGAACAAATTACTCAACATTTCTTATTACAGATATGAGTATTGTGTACTGCATACTATTTACAGGTACTTAGTATAAAAATTAATTACATTCTCCAATTGAATTGGTACATTTGTTCTTGCGGTTAAAACAAAGTATCACCGTAATTTTTTATGCATTCCCAACTAAAAGTCGGTAAACGCTTTTAGTGGTCACGTTTTCTAGAAGGCATAGCGTTATAATGCCTTCGAATTTTTTCGCTTCTTTTACAATACAATATTTTATTTATCCTACAATATTTTATTTATTTATATTTATAATGAAACAAAGTTTCATTTCGGGGAATGCAAAGTAGAATGCCCTATAATATTTCTTTTTTAATTCGCTTCTTTGCTTCATTTCGGGGAATGCAAAGTAGAGTGTCCCACAATTTTTTATTTGTTTCGCTTCTTTGCTTCATTTCAGGGAATGCAGAATATCCAAAAATTCTTTTTCTACCGTTACTTTCAGTGGAAATTTGTCTCGCATGAAAATCATGTTTTGCGTTGTTCAATTTGCAGCGAAGTTGAAGTCAGTCAATGAAGTGAAGTACAAGAGTGAGGAAGTACAATTTTAAGCTTAATTAAATATGCATGTATGTACATACCGATTTTTAAGTAAATCTAAATACCTAAATACATACATATGTATGTATAAAATTGATTTAAATTTTTTTTTTTTATTAATTTTAATCTTTTAAGACATTTTCTGATTTCAATTTAATATAAATAAGTATGTACTTATCTAGGCATTCTACATTACCCTGCAGGGAGTGACGTTAGCTTATACCTAACTTTAGTCTGTTTACGCGAACACTAGTGCTAACTATTAACTGTGTATTTTGTTCGAAAAAGGCTAACTACTTTTGTGGAGCGATGGCCGCAAAAAAGTCAGACCTGGATACCTCTGCATTACATGTCAACTAACTTGTAACTAACTACTTTTGGACATAAAATATCAATAAGAAAAACAAAATATTTTTTTGTTTTTTTACTTTTTTATTTACTTATTTATTTACTTTATTTTATTACATTTCATATTTGTTTACATATTCTGCTCTGGGTGGCCCCATATTCGACCACCGTCAGACATAACTTCAAAATGATAGTATAAAATT